GACTGGCTTAGATCAACTGGTGGTCAGCGTGTAAAAGTAATCGGTCCAGTCAGTCATGATTCCTACTCTAGCCTCTTATCGAAGCTATAAATGGATAAATTCTGAGCATAGCCGAGGCGCTAGCTATCCACAAGCTCAAACCCACGCTTTGTATCTAAAAGAAACACGTCCAACACCTGTCCCTGCTATGGCCATCATAAACAGGTATATTTTTGTGTGGTAATGACCATCCCATCGCCTTTCTTATCTAAACTTTTATATTTTCAAGTCCCCAGACACAATTCATATTTTTCTAACCAGTCACTGAGCGTGTGATTTTGGTATACATTGAACGACATCGAATAGAATGTTCAAATAAAAATAAAGTATTTTTATGTTAATGACCAACTCATATCGATCAGGTGGTCACTGAAACCCTCGGAAATTCTCTGTTTCTAGTAAAGCGGTACGGTACACCTATTTGTACCAAATTAAGAGAATAGATAAGCATGTATGATAACATGGTCACCTAATCGCTAGAGGGTTGTGGATTCAATCCACCGTAAGGTGATTTCTCATTACTGCTGATGGACGCCGAAAAGAAGACCAGATGCCTTCCAGTCACCTTGTTTTCCCGAACAACTGCCCAACTGATGTACCACGGTCAGAGTGAAGTCGTCTTCAACTCCGTGATTTCTCCACAAATTGATTTCCGATTAAATCGATGGCTAACAACTTCCAGACACGGCCGGTAGTATTGTTCTCTAACACATCCTGAAAGGACGCGAATTCATTTCATACAAGATTTCAATTCAACTGGAAAACGAATCTTCTCACTGGATCAAGAGTTCCCATTCAAGACAGCCACAGGACATTCAAAGAAACCACCTGTTTCATGTGCAAATACATGGATGACAGTCACCTCAGAACCAAGATACCAACCAACTAACCTCACAACTCAACCACTTGTAACTAACATCAACACTCAGTGTAAAAATCGAAGTTCACTTCAACAAGGCACACCTACAGACAAGTGATCAAGTTTCCATACTCTCTACTAACAGCCCGATTCACACAGAATCATTCAAGTCTAGTTTCGACAAGAGAATCTTGAAACCACCTGTAGACAGAATACTGCCATATAGAAGGTATACCGACGACAGTTTTACAGCTTTCCATAGTGGTTCTGATAGACATTTCCTCTAACAGGTATTGAGTAGCTCTCATCCTTCAATCGAATCAAACTTGTGGGAGGAAATGAATGAAAACTTCCCCTCCTGCATGTGGAATTCACACGAAAACACGATAGGATTATGGAAACTTCATTCTACAGAATGCGTTCACGGAACAGCCAGACAACAAAATTTCACCCGCTTCTCGTGGTGTCAGATGAGTGTGAAGCACTCGTTGATTAGAAAAAGAGGTCTGAATTCTGAAAATCGCCGTGGTGGGAAATGGGTAGCTGACAGGTGGTCATACGGAGGACATCAAACGATGACCATAATGAGGACAATGCAGTTCATGGACAAAGAAAATACTATGCATGAGCTTAAATTTAACGATGGACGTCGCCTCCGATATTTCGAAGAGGAGAAGAATCCGAAGTTCACTAAAGAAGACTTTCACTACACCAACCATGAAAGTGATATCCTCTAGCCAGCCACCTATTAAATACAAAACATTCGACGGACCAACTCCTGCATATGACCACTCCAATCTTCAGATATCATTTCACCTGCTTCTGTCGAGTTATCTTCATAATTTATACCCTCAGCTATAGGATTTTTCCAGCTCTACCGAATTTTCCAATTATACTAGTCGGTCTCATGATTACTCACATAATTTCTATTCTCAATATATCACCCCACCCCACCTCAATCATTTCACAAACCCATCATTTAATAATGAGCTAGCCATTCGCCAGAGTCCGACTATCTCAAGTTTACCGCATTCAATTTTTTACTGCCACTCTCCACAACCTACAACTAACCTCGAAGTCACCCCCTTACATCGGTGGAACAAGGCTAGAATCCTCGTCAACTACACAGGTGGTTCTATGATCGATCTCCAGCTGCCGACACACGTCACCAACTCGCTCGCTAAGCAAGGAATAAGATTGATAAAGAGGGAAGGCAGGGCATGAGGCTGGCAAACCTATCCCGTTAAAATAACCCCCCCCCACTGCTACCAAATATTCAATGCTCTAGCGTCAAGCCAACCTACGTTACACTGGGAGCGTAAAAGAATACGATTTATGGAAAACAAACATTCTCTGAATCTATGACAGCCAACCATCATCATCACCACCATCACCTCTCATTTCACAATATTTTCAAATCGAATTCACTACAACACATTTGTCAAACAACTACTAAGTATTTTGTCACTCTAAAACTAATCGGTAATCCTACGCGTAATTCAAAACATCACAATACTGGGTACTATTATAACAGGAATAAATAGCTTACTCTGCGATTTGTTGAGGCCTTAAGATAATTCCGTCCATTTCATTGACTTCTAATCACCAGTATGGTCTACAGTGTCTGATGTGAGGGCAGGTACTCAACCGTGACATTGCATCCTCGTCATGCATTATCTCACAACTTCGAAGAAGTTTGAATTCACAGGCTATCGATTCCCCAACAACCGTCTGGATGGTAACACATCCGGCTTGTGAATTCAGCGCCCTGGGTTCTGTCATTACTATGGTCACACCTGCGTATTCCTAAAGAAACAATTCTCCACTACTCTACCATTTCCTCCAGTCCTCTAACTGACCGTTGTCCTAGATGTAGAAATCATCCTTGAATCCAGCGTAAGTCTACCAGTCGAATGTCACCTCCACCCAATGATCAACAATAACTAACAGCTAGACTCTTGTGACACTTGAAAATTACTCTTTTGTGCATTTCAAACACCAGATGCTTTTCACACCTACTTTTTATTCTGTATTTACGCGAACGTTGCTCATGACATATATTTCACTTCACACATGTTTCACGGGTGTTTCCGTCCTCGTCTGATAGACAGTCGTTTCGTATCGATTGATTATGCACAAGCCCCTACAATTCTGAGTCTCAAATACTACAGATAACGTTTGAAGAGAATTCACCTACATCTCAAGTGAGAGTGAAGCTCAGACACTGTGTCGTCAATATTATTAACTGTGGGCATCAACAGACCCTGTAACATGGAAACATCTCATGACATTTATACAGATTTCTTAAATTCATACTGCTCATCAAATGAGGACTCCGAACTTCCGACCATTTGATTTGCACGGCTGAAACTCATACAAGGAGGATATTTATCCGAAATGAATGATACACACTCTGTTGTGAGTGGATTATCTGTTTTTACAGGCCTATCAGTCTCACCAGCACTTTAATCAAGACACGGGAAAGAATTATCAAGAAAAGCATCATGGCTTATCTGGAAAATAGCAGCTTGTTATCTGGAGCACAGCATGGCTTCCGGAGGAACCTCTCATGCCTGTCAAACCTCCTGACTGCAAGAGAAAGCTGGGTCAAATCAAAAGACAACAGAAGACCCGTTGACGTCGTCTTCATACACGTCAGTAAAGCCTTTGATAAAGTACCTCACAAAAGACTACTCATGAAATTGGAAAGTCTTGGTATCAAAGGCAGACTACTAGACTGGCTCAGGGAATTCCTCATAGATAGGAGGCAGAGGGTTAGGATCAACTCAAAACTCTCCTCCTGGACAGCAGTAAGTAGCGGAGTGCCACAAGGCACGGTTCTCGGTCCTCTCCTTTTTATTCTGTATATCAATGAGTTACCTCTGCTCACCCACTCCCCTATGGTCCTATACGCAGATGACTTGAAAATTTGGAGAGAGCTAAAGAGCAACAGTGATACGCTCACGTTGCAAGAGGACCTCAACAAATTGTCGGAGTGGTCTGTTGAATGGATGTACCCGATCAATGTGGCAAAATGTGCAACCATACGCATTGGACAAGCAAGCACGAGCTCCTACGAACTAGAGGGAATAACACTTCCATCAGTTCAGACTCACTTGGACTTAGGTGTCATAGTTAGCCACGACTTAAAAACTACAGCACACTGTCGCGCGGTGGCTGCACGTAGTTTCAAGTCCTTATGGGCGATTCGCGGAGCCTTTACAAGAATTACCAGAGATATGTCCACCTCCTTATACACATCTCTGGTTAGGTCAAGACTGGAAAACTGCATCCAGGCCACCAGTCCGTGTCTAAAAGGGGATTCACACATTCTAGAAAGTGTTCAAAGGAAGGCAACACGTATGGTTCACGGCATAGCTAACTTATCATACGAGGAAAGACTAGATAGTTTAAATCTCTTCTCACTGTCATACCGTAGGCAGAGAGGAGATTTAATCACATTGTTTAAATTTTTAAATAATGACTACGGACCTGACCTATTCTCTCTTTTCCTTCCCACGAGGTCGGAACACCTTAGAGGACATAGCAGGAGAGTTCAAAAGCCAAGAAGAAATCATATTGCTGCTGAGTACTGGTTCTCACATCGAGTCATAAACTCTTGGAACCGACTCCCAGAAGAAGTGGTGTCTGCAACCTCAACTGAATCGTTCAAGAAAGGTTTGGACAACCATAGAAATCTACTAGAAAAGGATTAACATAGGATGCAAGCCTTCTATCCTCAACCAATAAATCTGAATCTGAAATCTAACTATATCAGCCTAATGTATTCAAATGTCAATCAGCATAATCACTCATCCTACTGTTCAAATCATGTCTACTCACAAACATTATAATCTAACTATGAAACACAAATATCAGGCTATCTATCCCTTCCATGAAATCAAAACATAAAATGCTTCATGCACCACCCACTTACCTAGTCCCCCATCCCAATATCATGCACTGATCTCCCAACGAAAATGAAAAACAAATCCGACAGAATCTAATGAACATTTATTCAAAGTGGTAAAATTGAAGTTTAACAATATTTTGAAAGTCCACTGATCCACTTTACGGTTTCAATCTCGGAGAAGTACATCTGTTATGCAGTCCTAAAATAAAAACGAATCCACTGGCGATTAACATCATCAACGTCATATTCCGACCAACATGATTCCAGCTCCTCATCATTAGGTGGAAATTCGTCAAAAATGTTTAAATCTCTTTTCAGCGCATTTGGTAAATAACGTCCGCTTGGCACATATATCTCATCAAAAATCAGCTTCAAAATATCTTCCCAACGACGACTGTAATCAAAGTAGTGCTTCTCACGTGTTTCTCCATTCATACGCAATTGAGGATAAAGCAGTAGTTCGCTTCTCGGTTCAAAGATCTTAAGATAAGTGATGAGTCGACCAAACAGCTTGTTCCCTGTGTCACTGATTGTTGTCCTCGGTGAACCAGTCAAATACTCACCATCTAGATGATAATGAAATGGATCATCAACTATTTTACAGTAAAGCTGTCGTAATTCAATCAGCTCAGAAAAATTATCAAAGTATGGGATGCACACAGACCGAACCATTCTTCTGGCTATGGCGTGGGCGATTCGTGTGTATGTGAAGCCAGCCGGAACATCACGGAAATACTTACTGATATCCATTTTATCAAGAGACTGCTTGTAACCGATCCTCTTCACAGGTCTAATTGGGTGCTCCAGTTCTCGCCCTTCCGTAGCCATACTGAAAACCACCAATTTTGATACCCAATGACCAGTGATCAGCATTGCCTTCGTCTTATCCGACTCATCTGTCAGACCATATTTCTCCATTACACCACTTCCAAGTATCCTACACGCATAACTGTCCTTCCTGAACCCGCTCGGTGTGTACCGATTCTCCTCAAAGTAATTCACCACAGAGGCTATCATCACCGAGACACATGCATTCGCCATCTCAGCTTTCAACACACCTCTCATCTCGGAGCTACTCGCCACATTCTCCACTGTCCAACTACCATAATACCAATAACCATCCAAACGATCATCTACAACCGTATCGGGTAGTGATATATTCTCATTTGTTGCATTCCCTTCTCTATCTTCTTGTGTTGAAACAGTCAACTCTCCAAGAAGTCCGTGGAGAATCACTGCGCTCGCTGCATTGCTTAACCATACGCGTAATGGCTGGGATACACTCTCACCAACAGACTTGTACACATAAGCACCCGCTGTCGCAGCACATCTTATCCATGATTTCATAGCATGATTCGGATCACCTGTATCACACTCAGGCATTAACTTCTTGTCAATCATTAACACGAATTCAGGATTAACGCCACGAGAAGGAAAATCTGACAGCATACAGTTCAAATCTCCATCAAGTCTCAAGTCATCTATCAAAGAACTGGCCAATTCATCAGTCAACTTCTCCATTGAATTTGTTAGATTCACTCGACTGTTATCACTACAATCCCGTAAAGTAGGAAACGGCTAAATTGATTTGGTTAATGTCAATAGCTTAATGCTGTGTGATGGAGGCTAATATAGGCGTTAATTTTGATGCCTCAGTCGACCACCAATCAGACGTCAATGCTTGCCAGTTGGCAATGTCTTACAAACATCGTCTCATGTGATGCGTTGGCTGCATTTACCTTGTTTGTGAAGTAGATTATTGGATGTTTTAAAGTCAGGATGGAGTGTAAACTCAATTGGTTTGGTAAGCTAATAATACAATGTATCGTGGTGACAAGGTGTGAGATTTGATTTGGTACAGGTCTAATAATTTAATACTTGCAATTGTAATATTAAGAAGACAATATCCAACTTGGAGATTCTTTTCAACGGAATTAATATCAAGCTATACAATCGTATATACACATATATGTATACGGGTTATTTGAAAAATTTATAATCCATGAGGTATTTCTTCTTTCGAAAAGCGAGAAAAAGAAATGATCAGGGATGATGTAGTCTCAATCAGTTGGGCGTCAGTCTCCTTAACATTTGCGTAGTGAATGGTAAATGCTGACAGAATGCCCTCTGTTGTCCTTACCATAAATGCCAACATGATTTGTTCATAATGGTTGACAATAGCACACCGATTTTACTCCTGTTCTCTCTTGTCTGTAATTCCTTCAATCTTCACTGGTAAACGAGAATTAGCAGAATTATTGATATCTCAAGTTGAGTTAAATATCTAGTAAATAATTAGATATCAAAATGTTGGGGATTTCAGAAATTATTTAGCATAATCATTAACCGGGTAATATAAATAATCTTTGTAAGTAATTTAGACTTGAGAGTTATTTGTTCTTGTTGCAAATATTTACTAATATATGAAAAAATGCAATTACCTGAGTATCTAGCCTCTTCGGTCACAATGTATTCTCACCCTTGAATTAGAGTAACTGAAAGGTAACGACAACAGTAATAATTATCTGCGTCGTACTTCAAAATAGACACAGTAAGCAATGACTTCAACTCATCTCACTTCCTGTAGTCGTTACATTAACCTGTGTTAATTATGGAGTCAGTAGAAAACCAAAGTGTATTGAACAAGTGTTTCATCTGAGTATGGGTCTCTTCAGCAGTGTGCACTCAAGACACTATTAAGAATTGAATTCAGGATCTATTATTATAATAATTTAAACATCTTTAATGAACTGTATGTAATCACACTCATCTTACTTTACTAGGCGATATTGTTTAAAAAACACCAATATTGATATTGACTACTATTCTAGAATATTCTATGTACATAAACATGCATATATAATTGTAGAGCCCAAAGAGGAGGAAATGGATATCGAAATGGATATTCTTTGCTCACTTATTTTGGTGATCTATCGTTTTGTTATGCACCCTCAGCTTACCTTTGATTATTATTCTGAGTTCTCATATTCTTAATTTTATTCTGATCCACTTCGCCAGATTTCAGGATGGATGAACACTGAGTAGACTGTGGAATGACATCGTGTTCAGTGCAGGCCATCACTCGAGTGGAACCCTGATGGGAAACGATAATTTTGTAGTAGGTCTGTGTGTGTGTGTGACATGGAGGAGATCGTGTGACGAGGAGGAGGAGGGGAGGTGAGAGACTGTGGGCAGTCGTGGAGTGAGCTAAAGTCAAGTGCAGAGAATGACGTGAAATGTAGATGTTTTGCTGAACATGAACTTTCATAACTCCTCTTTAATTGGCTTCCAACATACAGAATCGTGACGAAGGAAAATTGTCGTAGACAAGTGAGTCTTGTTTCAGATTGGAATGACTTTGCCTCATACAATATACCGAGGTTGAAAATTTCACGTGAAGATTCTATACGGAGAGTAAAGAATTTCCAAGAGATAATGGTGAGAATTCTATGTTGTGTTTGAAGGTGTTGTCTATGGCGACTGTTAATCGTGTAAAACAAGATTTCATGAAAAATTCCCATTCAAACAATAATAGAGAGAAGACCAGTGGTTCAGCGAAGAGTCAGTCTCTTTCCGGCGGCGAATTCATTTTCGTAGCTGTACACCCACAAGTAAAAATGGTTGTTTTCTTGTGTGTGTGTGTGTACATTAAATTTGTCAAACGCAAGAAATACAATTAGTAAGTTCAGATGAATTGGATGTTGATATACGAGGGCAGTGTAACAAAAGTGATGAGTTGTCAGAAACGATTGTTAAAGAAGAGTTACGTGATAACGTGAATGGTTTGATGAACGAGTTGTGGTCAGGGTGTACATGGAAACAAAATAACATGAGGAATTACGCAAAGGTTTCAAGTAGTTAGAAAAATAAGCATACAAACAAAAGTTGAGTCGAATCAGTGGAGTTGTTACCATGAGAGTAGAAGTGGTTGAATAATTTTCTTTTGTGTGCATACTTCTGGTTCTTTCAACTGAATAGCTAGGGCTTCTGCAATGCAAAGAAGACGGAAACGTACTGTCTTTGGCAGGTTGTTGTTCTTCACTTTGTAGATAACTTTGAGGCAGGAGGCGTTTGTTGAGATGGAATGACCAGTGGTGACGAGGTGTTCGACTATTGCCCTCCTGACACGGCCACTTCTTTCTTTCTGCAGCCACGCTGGATAGTGTTCTTTGACCCTTTTTGACAGGATGGGCGTTGAACGACCGATGTACCTGGCTGGCTCCACAGCAACAGGTGAACTGTTATATACACATAGAAGTGGTCAGGTAGGGGATCTGGTCCTTTGGGCTTCAGCAGATCAGCAGGCGACTACAGAACACTACTCTCAATGTTTCCGCAAAGAAAGTTCTTCTTCAAGAAGTGGATATTCTCCTCCTAAGGACATCACTGAGTAGGTCACCTTTGAAGTCGAGATTCATATAAAGTATCTGTTTTGACACGGATGGTGTCTGTTGCTTTTGGATTTTCTGTTTGATGTTTTTGTCTACGAATCTTGATGGATAACCGTTTTGTATGAAGGTTTCTCTCAGGAAGTGTAGTTCTTCTTCCAGGGTATCAGAGCTGCAGATGCGTCGGACGCGAGTGGCAAGACATCTAATTAGGTTTCTTTTTCGACTGATTGGTACCCAGCTGTAGAAGCTTGTCAGTTGGCTGTTCCATGTCCTTCTTAAAGTTCCGTCAGCTCTCGTTGTAATTTTAACATCAAGAAAAGGGATTTTAGATTCGTCTTCAATTTCAAGAATGAACTTCGTAGCTGAATGGCATTTTTTGAATATAGTAGTTGTGGTAACTGAGTGAGATCGTCACCGTCATCACAGATAATAAAGATGTCGTCCACATCTGTGACATACAATTGGAATTTGTCAATAGTTGATTTGAGTGGGCCGTTGTCGAGGCTTTCGATGATGCAGTCTGCTAGTAAAAGGCTCAGTGGAGATCCCATTGCGATCCCATCTTGTTGTGTGTAAATAACATCGTTGAATGTGAATTGTAGATTGAGTGTACATCTCAGTAGTAGTTTTTTTAAGCAAGTCGTCGTCAATCCGATGTTCAGATGATCTTCCTCTATATATTGACAAATGTGACAGACAGTTTCTGTGAGTGGAACGTTGATAAATAGTAACTCAATGTCGAGAGAGAGAGAGAGAGGGAGAGAGCATATTTTTGTTCCTTACATTGATATCTTGTATATAATCAACGAATTGGAAGGTGTCTCGAAGCGAATAGTGGCACATCTGTTTTCGTACAGGTTGTAAAATGTCAGCTAGCGATTTCGCTATTGAATGGTACGGGGAATGTGACATATCGAAAATTGGATGCTGCAGTGGGAGGTTGGCTTTATCTATCCACTTTTGGTAAGCCGTATAATCTTGATATTATTGATTCTGTCGGTCGAATCTTGGTTTGCATTCTCTTAAGGACATCGGTGAGTTGTTTTTTAATCTTGTTCTGTTTCATTTCTTTCACTTGGTGGTTGTGAGAATTTTGTTTTATCTGACAAAATGTTGTTCATTTTCTCGATATAGTCCTTCCTGTCCACAAGGACTATGCCAGCTCCTTAATCTGCACGAGTGATTAGAAGTTCTTTGTTGTGTCTCAGTTGATTTAATTCTCCTCTATGTTGCGTCGTCAGGTGGTTGTATAATTTCGCTTTTGTATTCAGATATTGATAACAACAATCGATTATTGTTGATTTGAATGGCTGATTTCGCATCAGCATCAGACGTTTGTAATATGAGATGGTTATCCTCGCTGGTAACTATTCCCATTATTTTTTCATTTAACAGCTTGACTACCCCTCTGATGTGGTGCAACGAAATTACAGTTCTGTGGATCTCTTCCTTTAGTCAAATCTTAACAGCCTTCTATTCTGGTTCTTACTTTGTCTGTCTGGACTGAAGCACTCAGACGTGGACATTTGGTAATAATCCCAGTTTTCAGGCACCGTATATAGAAAACACGATGATTGTCATATCTTGATTCATTGTGAGAAACTCGCATTCGTTTTTACATATAATGTATGTGGAAAACTTGAGCACTATTGTAGCATGTAATTCCTCATTATTTGTTAATCAGATGTATCACACAGTGAGTGAAACAGTATTATGATTATTATTGTTTACTGGATGACAAAGTTTCGAACATAATTTATTCCTGATCATAATCACATCAATCAATTATAATCACACATCACCGAGACTTGACTTTCATAGTTTTCTTTATTCTCTGCTATTTGTCGTCGGACTGGTAGTAGAATTTCCCAGATGTCCAAATGGACAGGTGTTGAATCATTCCTATTACACGTGGTGATTTGCAGTTGATTCCATAAACGAAGCTTCCGATATGAATTCCAGATAAGGAAGGAGCGAACCTCGGAAACCCTAGGAAAAATTCCTAACAAGGCAGAAATAAAACACCTGGAATTAGAAACCAACAAACTCACCTACAAGCAAACTTTATCGGTTGAAGGATCCTGTGAAGTCGATTCAACAAAACAACTCAGTTCATCTAATAATCTGCTG